GTATAGGTGGCATCGTGTGACGGGTGACTATAGTCACCCGTCGTGTGCGGGTGTCGTTTTGTGGCGGGTGACTATAGTCACCCGTAGTAGTGAAAGGGTTAAAAACTAAATAAAGTTGATATTTATATTAAAATAAATATAAATGAATATAATCGATACACAAGACAATCGATAGTTCTACTATCTAGGTAACTTTGATTCTAAGACTAAAAAACCCTAGGAAATAATTCCTAGGTACAAATAGTTAGATTTTTTAAGATAGGGCAGTCGAAATGAGGAAGTTCCACAGAGAACATCTTAGTGTTCTCAAATACCCCGTTTTCCAATTACAGAGCATAATGCGACTCAGTGCCGCACAATGCCGCATTGTGCTAATGCTTAATTGGAACATGAATTAGTTTTCAAGTGCACCAGCAGAGTGCGCTAAGTTCAGTGTTGAAACAAAAAATATTCATAGACTTAGCAACCTCATTAATGTATAAATAAAGTGGTAAACAATAATAATTGGTCGAAAACTATTTACAGTTATTTTAAGTAATTTGGATTTTGATTATTTCATTAACATTTTTTAAATAAATTTATTTATAGTTTATTTTATTTTTATTCATAAATTTATTTATAGTTTATTTTATTTTTTTTCATAAATTTATTTATAGTTTTGTATTTTAAAATTAAATTGTATTCACATTTTATGTGTAGAATATAAAAAAAAAAAATAGTCAATGTTTATACCTTCATCCATACTTATATTTATTTTTTAACAGTCTGAATTAACTTTTTATTATTTCCAAAAAACTACGACGAGAAGAAAGCTTTAAGAATTTTTTCAATAAAAAACAATATTATTAACGATAATATACATACAATTTTGATCAATGCCAACTTAAAGAAAAAACATTTGGCTATTTTCTGCTACTTAGTTGGTATCGATTGCAAGCATCACGCGAAAGCAACACTTTTTACAGTGCTCGATTGTGCGATGCGATGCTCTAGTTGMAACATTCAACGTTGAGCATTATGCCGCATAATGCGCTTTAGTGCTGTAATTGGAAAACGGGGATAGATTCGTGTAGCTTTCTCACGGAATTAGGCAAAACGTGTCTTTTTTGTGGAAACTACCACCATGGTAGGTTTTTTGTATGTTATCTATTTCATATTTACTTACATCAAATTCATAACTGAGAATACTTAAAAAATTTTACGTGGAGATTATTATGTATTAGTTAATGGTCATTGGAATTTGTAAATTTTAAATACATATATAGTAAATTGTGCTGAAAAAGTTTGAAAAATATGTTTCTGTGTGGATTGCTGCTATATAACAAAATATTCATATATAATGATATATTTTTGTTCTCTTTAGGCACGTGGTCCTAAAAAACACTTGAAGCGTCTCAATGCACCCAAAGCATGGATGTTAGACAAGTTGGGAGGTGTTTATGCACCGCGTCCATCCACCGGACCACACAAGCTCAGGGAATCTCTCCCTTTAGTTATATTTCTTCGTAACAGATTAAAATATGCATTGACCAACTGCGAAGTTACGAAGATTGTAATGCAACGACTTATTAAAGTCGATGGCAAAGTACGGACTGATCCGAATTATCCAGCAGGTTTCATGGGTAAATAAAACATCATATTTTTTCTTTCCATGGCCTATCGAAGCTGTTGTACTTTCTATAAATAAATACAACAGTCATAAATGGCCAATAATAACTAGGCTCCTTACTTTGGTCACAGGTTGAATTAAAAAAAATATTCTTGCTGTATTACCCAGTAGGAGTACAAGTGTTATATTCATACTAAAGTGATGTAGTTGTGATAGGAATGTATTGATTGTTTTATTCATTACAGATGTTATAACCATCGAAAAGACTGGCGAATTCTTCCGTTTAATTTATGATGTAAAAGGTCGTTTCACCATTCATCGTATCACAGCTGAAGAAGCCAAGGTATTTTCAAGATACTTTTGCTAACTTTCTTTCTTATTCATTTGGATCATTCTTATCATTTCTCACATTGTTTTTTTTTCACAGTACAAGTTATGCAAAGTAAAGCGAGTTCAAACCGGTCCCAAGGGAATTCCATTCCTTGTGACACATGATGGAAGAACTATTCGTTATCCTGATCCACTTATTAAGGTTAACGACACTATCCAATTGGATATTGCGACTGGAAAGATCTTAGATTCTATACGTTTCGATTCTGGTAAATATTTATCTTCAATATATTGACGTAATTACAACAATTTTTTTTAAACATAGAAAATTATCTATACTTCTTTATGTATAGGAAACGTGTGTATGATCACTGGAGGAAGAAATTTGGGTCGTGTGGGAACAGTCGTCAGTCGCGAACGGCATCCTGGATCTTTTGATATTTGCCATATGAAAGACTCTCAAGGGCACATTTTTACCACCAGGTATGGTCATTGATTACGTCTATGAACGATACAAATTCACGGTGGTCTTATTTTATATGAAGAATTGTTAATAACGATGAATTTACATAGGTTGAACAACGTATTTATCATCGGCAAAGGTCTGAAGGCATATATTAGCTTGCCAAGGGACAAAGGTGTCAAGCTGTCAATTGCGGAAGAAAGAGACAAGAGGTTAGCTGCAAAGGGAGTTAATTAATGTATATTTTTAATAAAGAGTAGCTAGCAGTCAAAGGGTTAATGGGGATATAATTCATCATATTTTATCTTTCCATGGCTTTATCGAAGCTGTTGTACTTTTTATAAATTAATATCCTATTCGTTTTGATTCGGGTAATTTATCATTGGTAAAAGTCTGAAGGCATATATCAGTTTACCAAGGGACAAGAGTGTCAAGTGTGCGTCAAGTGTGTCAAAGCTTTGTAGCTTTCTCCAGCTGTTATATTTTAGCTATATAGTCATCTTCATGGCGTTTGTTCTTCCTGTGACGACGATGTCCATCTTTTATACCACCGTTTTAGAGGTCTTCCCGGTGGTCTTGTTCCTATCTTTCCTGTTTTTGCCACTTTCGGCAGCCTGTATATCTGTGTGTGATTTCAAAATTTTCAATATGTAGTTTTAATAGCTTTAGAAGATAGATTTTCTTCTTATTTCCTCTTCTTCTTCTTCCTCCTTTCTTGTTTCTTCCAAATATAGGCACAAATTGCCTGTTCCTCATCGCGACTCGCCAGGCGAATCGTTGGATTCTGTGAGCCTTGTTCTAGGTTTTTAGATCGGGCAGGGGGCTAACCTAATCTTTCATCACAACCCTCATCCTTTATCCGGGCTTGGGACCGGCAACATAACCAAAACCGAGCTACTCACAATCCACCCAGTGATTATGCAGGCGGATTAAAGTGTTAACGGCACACGGTGTTCCCAAGCGGGTCATCCCCATCCAAGTACTAACCGTGCCCAGTGTTGCTTAACGTTAATGATCGAAAGAGATCTTGTGTTCTCAGCACGGCTATGGCCGTTAACAGGAAGAGATAGATTAAAATTATTAATTAAGTATTAGATGATGTATATTAGAATTTTCTTCAATTTTAGTATATATAATATTTTCTTATTTTCTTAAAAAAAAAGAAAAATATCTAATTTTAAAATGAACACACGCAAGAAAGGATTTAGATCGATGAAAGCAGTTTACTGCTGCTTAACTCATGACTTTAACGAGAGAGAAATATTGAATTACGTTCTACTTTTCTGGCAGCCAAATTTCTGCATTTAAATCAAGTGAAGCTTGCAGAAGAGTATTATATTGGTCGTCTTTTTGTTTTTCATTTCCTCGTTGAATATCTTTGGCAGCTTTTAAATACCTACGGAAAAGAATGAGCTTCAATTGGTTAGTATTGTCTTTAGTATATGGTATAAATTAAATATAAGTGAGAGAAATAAAGAGTACTTGTTTATATAAAGAATCGTGTCTTTGATTTCTCTATCAATGGAACGAGACGCATCCGGTTGAGAAAAATCAGCATTCTTGGAATGTTTGAATCTTGTTAATGGGCAAATACGAACCCATCCTCCTTCTCTAACGCAAGGAACGTTCCAGTCTTTACCATTATCCCATATTGAAGTCGATGATGAATGATCGTTGATGTTATTTCTTTTGAAATCACGTCTAATGCATTTGTCCATCAATAAAGGATTATACCGAGACCAGGAAGTCGGACACATTTCTGAAGACGATTCCTTATACTATGAAATAATTAATTAATTAATCGTATCAGTTAAATTTATGCATTAGAATTAACAAAAATGATAAATTTTTACGGAAGAACTTGTTTCGGAATACAAATTCATGATGGTGTCACCGTTGCGATGAAATTTAGATTTCTTTTTCGTCGAACGATTAGCGGATAATTTGGAAGACGCGTTTTCTTCGTTGACTCGTTCGTAAGACCAAATTTTAAACAACGATAGTCCAGTATTACAAACTGGAAGTCCTAACAGATCGAACAAATCGTGTAACAATGGTTTCTTCACTTCTGAATCGATCTCACAATCGTTGCTTAGAGCTGGACTAAGGTTTACCTTCAATAAGTAATACAACATTGTTAGAATATTTGAAAATATAGTTTGTAAATCTATCGTTATACCTCTAATAGCCATGGTTTTAAATTTTCATCAATAAGCACGTCAAAGCCGAAGAACTCGAAACAATTAGACGAACTTGGTATACCAGCTGCTTGGCTAATAATCGTTAAACTCACTAAACAAGCTATTCTTTGCCAAAGAAACCAATCAAAGTATCCAGCTTGCTCGAAGTATCGTCTCAGTTGTCTCAAAGTCCACTTGCAACCTCGGAAAAAAAATGAATTATAAGTTTGCGTCAGAGTTTCACACACAAGAGTAATTAATATTTAGTTTGAACGAACTTACCAGCACCAATGCGTTCTTTTTTTTCCGAATATCCTGGACCTAGCTTGTTCAAAGAGAAATTCGTTAAGTGACGGAAAGGATCGTCCAAACGTTCCAAGGAAAATTTTTCCGTTGCAAATCGTGCTATTCCTTCCTTGTAAAGATATATCGTTAAAGGACGATAAGAAGGTACGCAGACGTAAAGACGAAGATCAAATTTGTAACCACCGATGAGAAGAGGATTTTCTATGTATCTTTGTACAATTGCGGAATTGTTGTACGAAAGATCGCTTAATTTCTAAATGAAATGAAATGAATCAATTAAAATTTGAACAAATAAATACAAAAAGTTATTAGATTACTTACACGGAAAAGAAATATTCCTCTTCCTTGGCTTTGGCCAACCGGCTTGCAAATCCACACTCTATCATCCTTCTCGTAACGACTACAATCTTCGGCGAGTTTCGTGTATTCCGAAGGCAAATTATATCCTACAGGACTGTCGGGAAGTATGCATTATATTTTTCGTGATAGTGCGTGGGGGAGGTAGACGGTTTGAAGAAGATTATCGTACGTGCCATACCTGAAGTCGTAAATCGAACCGTGGCCCTTTTTCATGCATTTTAAATGACGCACGAGATTGTCCTTCCTGCAGATCGAGTTTCCTTTTGGTATTCGATTAACGAACTGGGAATAAATCAAATCTAAACTTATACGTAGTCGACAAATGTTCATGTATATCATTAAATGTTACTTTTTTCGAATAATTATTTCTCTTTGTGTATAATTGAATGGAAAGATCGAAATCATTACCTGCCAAGGAAATAATGGTTTATAATGGGACGAAGGAAAACCACCGGACCGCCACCATAAATTCCATCGATCTTTGAATACATTATTGTCAACCGCGTATTCCCTCCATCCACGTTCCGTGCATACCTACGAAAAACTTTGCTTAAGTTTTACGAAACGTTAGAAAACTTGTTATAAATTGTTAAATCGTAAAAAAAGAGATAATCGTTGAAATAAGTGATCCGTAAATCATCGGCCTTTTAAAACCATTCACTGTTGGATTAGACAGTGTCGGTTACTTTGGTATCTCAAATACGCGAAGGTTTTCACACGAAAGCATTCACATCGGAAGTTCGTTCACGCGTTCAAACATTTGACTAACTTTTTCGAGCACGAAAATAGGATTGTCCTTGATTTATTGTCGTGTTATTAAAGCATTAGGAATACCCTGGTGCAATATCGAAAGCCAGTCCCCAAGGACGACGATAATCGAAAATTATAGCCGTGCGTTGCACTCTCTCTTTTCATTCCCGCTCGTTATTTCTTTGATCATAGCGAAAACGAATCTCGAACAAATAAGGGCTAAACAATCCCCTTCTCTCTCTCTTTCTCTCTATTTGCGGTCAACCACAAATTACGACCATGCAACGACCGTCCGACTGGCTTTTTATTTAACCCATTTTTTTCTTTTTTTCCTTACCTTACCTTCTGTGCCAGGTGCATTTAACGATCAAAGCCGCCCCAAGCAATTTATCTAATAAATGTACCTCGTCACGAGCTATCTCCGATAGGAGCTTCTTTCGAGTTCGTCTCTTCTTCTTCCTCTTCTTCTTCTTCTTTTTACTTAGTTTTTTTTTCCCTTTCCTTTAGACATTTAAATGCATCGCGAAAGATGGAGAAAAAGTATCAGCTTCGAACGTTTTACGCCGTCACGAAAGAAAAAATGACAATGAATCGTGACATTGAACAACACAGACGAAATAAATCGAAACAATATTTTTTAGATGACAGATAGATAGATAAACAGATATTCGTTTGAATAATTGAGTTGGACGTGTCATTTCACGAAACATTATTAATTACTTCCTTTTTCTTTTTCGTTGCATGTCTCATGTTGTTAATCATAAGCTTTAAAAGGATCGTACACACGCAGCGAAAATTCTCATTGCGTTTGTTTTTTTTTCTCTATGCAGGTATATGACATCTGTATCGTAGCGTTTGAAAATATTTGGTTCAAGGTTAAATAATTTAACTTTGTAACCGGGCCAAATGAAAAGTAAAAAAGTTCAAAAGTTTTTCTACGATGACGGATCGACTGATTTATTTTTAATTTAGCCGAGTACACGCGTACTTAACTTTCAATTATTTCATGTGAACTTTAGTATTTTTTTTAGAAGATAAAGTCTTTAGTGATTTTTTACCTGGACGAGCAGATGAGGTCCTGTACCGTTCTCGTTGAGCCTGAATATGAAAGGTCCTTCCAAGCATTTTACTGCCATGCCGGAGCATGATCTATATGTCTAATAGAATAGCGAATGAGACGGTAGGACGTTGAGGAAAGTCTGAAAGAACTGGCGTATTTAAACGGGAAATGAGATTTAACACTTTGTAATATTTCCAAATGACGTATTCGTAAGTTCTTATCACGAAAAATCGATGAGAAAGTATGTGCCAGAAATAGGTGCTCGCTATTAGCTTCACGCTATTTTTCGTAAAGAATAATAAAAACGATTTGTGTGAGGATATTTGAACAAATTGATATAGAATAATGAAAAAAGATATTCAATATTTTTCTACGATCATCAAAATGACGAAGAAAAAGATCTAACGTTTGATTTAATTGCAAGATAGTCAAAAGGTAAGATATACTTGAAAGTTTTCCAAATTGCGCCTGCGTCAAATTGAAAATGAGAATAAGCGCGCGAATGTAATAGAGAAAAGAAAGTTATAACAGTATTCGTGTTACTCACGTTATTTATTTTTGCGATCGATCACGTTGTTTGAGATTCATCGATGATAGTCTTCTCTAAAATGAAAATAATAATAATCGTCTTGTTCATTTTATCTATTATTTTGTTTGCAATGAAATATCATCGCGTAATCGGATCGAATTGTGTTAGTGGGGAAAAAAAAAATGGAAGAGAGATCTATTCGAGACGAAATGTAGATACTAACTGGCGCGTGGTTTGGTTTCGCGAGGCAGGTGTGCGCGCACAGGTTAAATCCTGCCTTTCGTAGTCCTGCTTCCGCGCGCGCGAGCTTGTGAAGGACACCGGAAGTATGAGCGACGACCGCGTATTACCTAAAAACAGAAATATTATAGGTAGTTCGCGCAAACTCCTTTTACCGATTTCTTATTAAACAAATTTCGAACAGAAAGTATCTATTTAAGTTGTTAAAGAAAGAAGCTCATTAGTTACACGCAACGATTGCGCCGGCCTTTTTTGACTTTTTGAACTTTTATACTTGTACTTTTTATATTTTTAAAGAGACTTCTTCGCTTTTATTAAACATGTCGATATGAAAGCCCCCAAAGAGCCCCAACGACCTCCATTAAATACGTGAAAATTATTATAACGCAATATTGACGTCATAGTTAGATATTCGAAGGATTAACGGCTATTTCACGTAATTGCTTTCCCTTTCGCTTTGAAGCTGATTTCATATCGAACGATGTTATGAACATTATTAGAAGCAAACGTCGAATCAATAAAAGTCTGTTCACGATTTAGTTCCTACTTTCGAAGTTCCTTCGAAAATTACACTCTCGAGTTTAACGACCGTAAGAGAAAGAACGCTTTCGGTTTTATCGGATTACAATCGTGAATGGTATTTCGTGCGAACAATGCTATTATTTTCGTAGGATATGGATTTAAAATAGGAATTCTCTCTATCGACGTCAAATTCTATTCAACTTTTTATCTAATGTTAAATTGTAACAATAGATTAGAAGAAGTTTTTTTTTTTTTTTAAGAACTAAGCAGAAGTATACATTTCATTTTATTTTAAGCAACACGTACACAGATACAGAGAAGAGGCTTATGCCCGATTATCCATCGATTCAAAATTTCAATTTATTCAATCGCGATCGTTAACAGACACGTCTACATAAATCATTAATAATTTTTTGAAAAATTTGTCTTCTTCCTTGTCGCATCTGTCGTAGGATGTTTTTACGCTCGTCAATTAAAACTTTTCTTTTTTTAAAGTCTTACGAACTAAAATATTACACTTTTATTATTATTATTATTATATTATTATTATTATAGTCATAATTATAATTATAATCGTAATCGTCATCATTCATTATAGTATTATCATTGTTGTTATTGTTACTTTTTTTTTATCGATTCCGACGAGTTATTTCTTTTTATTTTATTTCGTACAGATGGCACAGAAAAATCGGTAACCTCGTCTAAAAAAAATTATCGTGAAGTTTTATGGCTCCGTGTTTTCGCTTTTTTGTCGAGTTGTTTCTCCCTTTCGATATATATTTTTTTATTCTTTCTGTTTTCATTAATTTTGTTTTCTTTTTTATTATTATTAAGTCGAGGAGATCAATTGATAATATTCGATCAGTTTTGCTCGACTAGAAGCGAGTTTCGTATGCACTATAATAAGACTACGGTTATACGATATATGATTACAATATACGCTCGCTTTTAATTCGATTTAATAAGCTAGAAAATATATTTAACAATCGTTGATTCATGATCCACGTGCAATAGAATCATGATCGAATCGCATAAGTGATAAAAGGCAACGCTCACATCTCTTAGATCGAACAACATTTTCTTTTCATTGTATACCGATACTAATTAAAAACATTTACACATTACTTTTCGATTCTTCTCAACGTTTGACTAGTACATTAAAAAAAAAAAAAAAAAAAGAAAGAAAATGAATATAGATCAATATATAATAAAATACGAATAAAGAATAATCGTCTCACTTTGCATACATTTTCGAAATGTTAATACAAAAATTATTCTTCTTTCTTTAGAATTGTTAAATTTATAAATATAGTACTTAAATTTATAAATATAGTATATAAACGAGAGAAAAGCTTTAGCGAGTTTAAGCTACGAAACCTTTCGAATTGTATAACTCGTAGATTACTTTCAAGGATAATTGTACTGCTAAACGTACGCTACGCACGTGATCGGATTGAAGCTTTATTTATTTTTCCCAAATCATATTAGATAATTTAATTTATTGTAAATTATGTTTCTTTTTTTTTATTTCTCATTTCTTTCATTCGTCATCTCTCTCTCTCTCTATATTCATTTCGTTCTCTCACACACGTATTCTCTTAAGAAATTTGGTCGAGCAAGTCGAGCAAGAAGACATTTGTAAACTAGGGGCTATTATTATTCGTTAATCGTTCAAAGTGCATCCTCGAGAAGTGCACCTTGAGAAGCAAACGAGAAATATGGCAATGATCCTTCTTCGTTAATCGCTAATTGCTCGCTTGACCTTTGCGTGATTCGACAAAAGAGATTCGCCGCGATCGTGTCCGTATCGCCGCAGAATTCTCTGCACCGAGTTTTACGAGCTATTCGAGCACGGTTCCTCTACACCCCTTGCCACCAACTGTTATAAGTCGCTATTAATTATTATTATCCTTGTCCTTGCCTTGTTAATATGTATCTACACACTCGCGTACACACACACACACACGTATTTATATATATGAAACGATGGTTTTATTCCGGCCACGCGCGCGCTAATGCGCTTACAATTTTCCTATCATTTTTTTTTTTTTTTCATTATTTTTTACTGAACGATTATATAAAAANCCTATCATTTTTTTTTTTTTTTCATTATTTTTTTTCATTCTTTCACTCCGATTTTTCTTTCTCTTTTTTTGGTCTATAATATGCATGTATGTATTGTAGTATGTATAAATATATATTTTTCTTATATCTTGTGTTTTTTGCGACACACGGAACGCTTGCAAGCGGGTACGCGAATTGAGCCACGAACTCGAACGGACTTTTTTATGAATAGAATACTTTCTTCAATTTTGTCATTGTGTTTGTGGGAAAAATAATAAAATTTTGATAATAGAAAGTTATCCGACGTGTTCGTAACTCTGGCAACGATCGGTTAGTCGAATGATTTCAGCTCGATATGGAAAAGAATAAAAGGAAGAACGAAGAAGATTTTTTTTTAAGAAGAAGGATGAACGATTAATGAATCTTTTTTTTTTTATTATTTTCATCCTTCTCTTAATTTCTCCTCTTCTTTCTTGCCACGCGTTTTTTTTTCATCTATGAGGAATTTTAACGCGCGTGATTTTTGCAGAAAGGACGACCACCTTTCGCGTAGAAACTTTGACCCTCGAGATTCTTCTTGCACATCTGAAACATATCAAAAAATGATGATTAATGTTTTGTTGAAAAACTTTGGGCTTTGTTTGACTGTTTCAATTCTGAGTCTTCTGCTTTCTGGACAACTGTTTTAACTTTTCAGTTTTTGACAAATGAAATATATAAATATGATTGTAGAAATTATTGAAACTTACCGTACAGTTGAAGCACTGACTGTGATAATTATTATTGAGGGCCTCTACCCAACGGTCTCCAGCCTCCACTGGGAATCCGCAGGCAAAGCATTTTGTCGTGAAAAGTTCGTTCCAATCTAATAGAAAAATAAAATAATCAAAATTAATAATCCTTGTAGTTTTATCTTTGAACAAACAAATGATGATACACGAACCAGCTTCGCAATAGGGTAAACCTTCTTCCAAGAAGAACGGACTGTTACCAAAAAGTTTTCCACAATACGAACAGTTGAAGCATTCAGGGTGGAAATGTTTTCCAATTGCGTTTAGGCAATCCTATAAATTTATATAAAATCCGTAATATTTGTTAATCGATCAAAATAGTTGATAACACTTACGCCTTTGATTTTGTTGTTGCATTTGTTGCAAGATGGTGCGATGAACTTTTCGAAACAATATTCGCAATAAAGTTGTCCTTTTTCCTCGACGAATCCGATGTCTTGTAATGGACGACGACATTGAGTGTTCACGCATACGAAATGTTCTGGACACCAGATTTGTCCCAATGCGGTAATGAATGGTCCTCTGAACGGAAATGATATTATTTTTAATGATAATTCATTTATTGAAATAAATTAGCAGTATAAAAAACACATGTAACTTGACGAAAAGGTGAGTTTAATACGTACACACACGTAAATATTAATTAATGGTTCGAATGTTTCTTTCGAACTTAATTAACACAGATGAATTATACGAACCTCGTGCAAGTCTTGTTGTCCTGACAGCAAACTGGCTTTACGACGAAACCATTTGTTGTATGATTAGTATTTTCATCGTTAGCTGTCAACAACGTGCAATGAAATGATGTTAATTATTTAAACGGCACACGGTTAAGTTACGACAAATCATTCAAAGTCACACAAAAACTCAATATATTCAGCACAAGCACTGAAAAATAAACAAATTAACGAACATTCGTTTATTAATAAAGAAACGTACTCCTTTGATTGTGGTTGTCTCGATAGTCAAATAAAAAAGCGACGACACACTGCAATCGGGAAATAAAATAAAGAAAAATAAAAGAAAAAGTGAGGCACACGTTCGACGAGTCAGGCATCGTCCTACCTGACGTAGGAGTTGCAATGAGCACAGAGTGGTACACGAGAACCTGGTCCACCAGCTTGATTGAGGATACCCCTTCCACGTTTAGGTGCACTGCTACCAGCAAAGGATCCGCTTTTGGAGCCGGAACCACCGAGACCTCCGGTACCTAGATCCGGGTGGGATGACATATTTGGTGGGTCAACTATATTTGGGGTTTTACTAGGGGAGCAATGGAAGCCATCCTGGCAGCTAGTCTGAGACTGACAATGACTTCCGGTTTGACATTGGCTTTGGGACTGATAGAAGCTTTTGGTCTCGCAATGATAGCTTTTTGTGGTTTCACATTGGTTTTCACATTGACTGCTGGATTGTTGGCATTGTTGCGGTAATGGTTTGTAAAGCTGAACGGTAGGAATATCTCGATTTTTAGCTGTTAGTCGTGCAAGCTGTCCGCTGAGATTAGTTTTAGGCTTATGGATTGGTTCGAAAGAACAAGATTGGCTAGTTTGAGGAGTAGATTCTTCTTCGTAGGGGAGTGGGATTTGCGGGAAAGGAAGATTCGTTCGACTTTGGCTTTTGCGAAGACATTGGCCGCCAGATTTCTTGCAAGGTGCTACACAGACTGAACCATCCGGACGAGGTGCGACGCAAACACCGGATTCTGGACAGTTGGGTATTTCAAAATCGCATCCTGCCGATTCGCCACCGCAATAACCAGACGGTTGGCCACAAGAACCAGGTTTAAGACCGAAGCAGGGCGATACGCAAACCCCAGATCGATCAGGAGTTGGCATCACGCAAATGCCTGTCTTTGGACGACTTGGTTGTCCATCGCAGGGTACGACCACCACGCCAGCTTTGGTGCCTTGGTCGGAATGAGCTTTACACGGTAAGACGGTCACTCCGGTTTCTGGACACTTAGTTGCAGGAGGAGTTGGTGTTTCATAGCGAACGTGACGTACTTCGGTCGAGCTACTGTACGTTGGTTGAACTTTAGGAATCTCGACAGGTTTACGTTTCATCGGACAAGGTAAAGTTACGTCCGCGTGAGTCGTTGAAATGATAGAACATTCTCCTTTCTTTTCTGACGATGGTTGTGTAATCGCCATAGTCTTTTTCTCGCATTTCTCGTAATCCTCGACAACTTGCAGTGCCTTTTTAATATGACAAACGGTATTATTTTCTTCGCTGGTATCATCACTGGTCATGCTACGTCGTTCCTGGTATTGAGCATGTACAGAATCGGATTCTTGTTGCTTTTCTTCCGCCTGTCGTTCGTCGTAATGTACCGTCTTACATCCCATGTATTCTTGTTTCCTATGACCAGTATCCGTATCCTCTTCTACGGTATAATTAATGGTCTTACGCGAGGGATAGTGTATCGAGCTTTGTTTTGACGGTGGTCTAGGAGGAGCTTCTGTAACGGCCCACGGAGGGTCGTCTCTAATTTTAGGTGCTTGGGCTTTCGTATAATAAGATGGAGGTGCCGGTGGTCCTTGTGCCGGAGATTTGCTTCTGCTTGGAGTTGGTGTTGGAGATCTACTAGGAATATATGGTTGTGCTTCGACAGGTGATTTCTTCATGGCCACGAGATTTCTTTGATAAATCGGTATGGTATCTGGTTTTCTCAATCCTACCGTTGAAGGTTTACTACTAGGTGTGTCGGCTCTGCTACAGGGCCTAGATCTCGATGGTGAAACTGAGGAATCTCTTAAACGATAATCAGGAGGTGGTGTTGGCAACGGCTGTGGTACTATTTTCTTCGTACAAACTTGTTCCCGACGATAAGAATCTTTCAATTCGCCATAAAGAATATCGGCTGGTGGACAAATTCCATCCGGAATAGGTGTAACTACTGGTGTCTGAGCTCTACCACCGACTTCACGATCTTCCGGTCCGATAACTCGACTAAGTGGAGTATAAGGACGTTCCGGAGCTATCGTTAAGGCACGTTGGAACGGTGATATAGGACGTTCCTTTGGTTTTGGTACTGGTCTTACTTTGTGATCCAAATAGACAGTTTCTTCGGTGTAAAGTTCTTTCACGGTAGAACTGACGGGTGTAAAGGGACGATCCGGTGCTGTGGTCAAGGCGTTCACCATTTCGGATTTCCATTCTTTAGGTGTGGCATTTTGTACGGGTCCATCAGAAATTGGTTTAGGTCCCGTTTCAGTTTGTTTCATAAATTGAACGTGTTTCTTGCAAGTCTCCATGTTATCGTGAGGGGTATATTTAGCTCCAACTTTTCGTTCTTGAGGAGTTGGATGTCTTCCTTGATCACGAAGACTCTGATGAACTTCAACCTGTTCCCTCAAACTCTTCCTACGTTCCTCTTCAACGTCTCTCCTTTTAACTCGTTCTTGAACGAGAACTTCCTCTACAATTTCCTCGTATGTCTCTTTAGTAATTTTCTTGCAACCTGGATTGGAACCATCCGATTCTGTAACCTTTTCCTCGTGTATAACCGTACGACCAAGTGGTTTCTCTCTGATAACTTCGACAACTTCTTCATCATCATCGTCCTGTTCTTCCCTGAAACTTACGTGTTTTTTATTTCTCTCTTCCTCTTCTCGTCTTCTTTTTTCTTCTTCCTCCCTTTTTCTTCTCTCTTCCTCTTCCTGTTTTCTTCTCTCAGCTGCTTCTTCTTCTCTTTTTCTTTCTTCCTCATCTCTCTTTGCTTGTTCGATCAATTTCGTTGCATCGACGGCCGATGTTACAACTTCGGCAGATTCCTCGACTGTTTTTGTTTCCGTCGTACCTTCTACGACAGATTGTCTATCAACTTTTGTCGTACTTTTACGTGTGCACGATTCCACTTCCTCGATTTGTTCCAATGCCGGTGAACCCTCCCTGGGTGATAAAACTTCCACGGTTTTTTCGTAAGTCGTTGTTTTCTTAACGTGCATATCACCGATATCTTCCTCAGCAGTTTCGGTGATAAGATCGTGTTCACCTTCGATTCCCTTTTGAACAGCTGCTACATCAGAGGGTACGTACTGGCATGTCACGGTCGTATCGATGGTTGTGTCTTTTTCAACTTTTCTCAAATCCATGACTTCCTTATCAAATTCTTTGACGATTTCTCGAGGTGTTTCAGGACGCGTCTGACACGGCAATGGTGGTTTCGGTGATACGGTTTCTTCCGTTCGACAAATCTCAGCACGAAAAGCACGGTGTTCTTCTCGTACACCACCCTCGCGAACTTCTTCACTCTGGCATATCTCGCTCTTGTACTTTTTACAAACCTTAGCTTGTTCCTCGGAAGCGTAACTCTTTTCGTAAAGATTGCCACCCGTTGACACGGTTGCTGTCCAGGGTCTAGGTATCGGTTGATAGATTCTCGTAGGTGTCAACGATCTTCTGACACAACTATCAGTCGAGCTAGGCCTCGAAGTTTCTCGTCTGGAAGTTTCTCTTCTTGCTCCATTGGTATCCACCAATTCGACTCGCTTGTAAACAGGACCTGGACAACTGACACGGTCCATCGCGTCTTGATCGAAATAATAATCTTGTCGTGAAGTTCGTTCGTAATCTCGATCAGTACTCTCGCTTCTTATTTTCAATACTTTTTCGCAAGCCTCGATACTCGCACGTTTATCCTTTACCGCGTGATGATCTCGACGATCGAGTACAGGATTCGGATCGATGTACAAAGGACTGGCAGTAGGATATGTTATGTCCTCGATCGATTTTGTCGGGGGCCAAGCGAGACTTCGAGATTTCACCGAATTTCGATTGTTCGATGGATTGGTGCAGGCTGGATTCGAAGGGGATTTCGACGTTTGTCTGCTCTCCTCCACGCAATCGTAATAATAAAACTTTTCGTGGACCTCTGATTAGGTTTTTCGGGATGAGGTGGAACGTTTTTAGAAACACGGTGGTCATTCGTTTGTTAATAATGATACGCGAGGATGGAAGAATCGAGAGGAACAAAGTAAAACGAATAACACAAGATACTCGAGACGTGCGGTTAATTAGGTTTGGAAAAAGGCCATGTTAGAATGAAACAAGTAACACACAGAAAACAAAAAAAAAACAGAGAAATTTGCGGTGAGTAAGAAGCACGTTGAACGGCTCGTACCCGTCTTCTCTTTCCATTTCTTATCTGCTCGTTTATCCCGTTGTTTATCTGTTGCAATTATCTCAAACAGACGGACAGATAAATGACTTGAGAAAACGGGCACGTGCCAGGTTACGCTAAATAAAAAAGAAAATAGCAAAATGAAAAGAGAAAAAATGAAAAGAAAAGAAAAGAAAAGAAAATGAAATAGAGAAAAAACAGTGCGTTCGAGAAAATGTCGAAGCAAAATGTTTCTTTTTTTTTTCAATGCTAAACTATTGTGCTTATTATCTAACTATAATATTTTGTATGGCTCATCTCAAAAGTCACTCTGCTGCACTCGTTTGTATTTAATCGAGCGGTCAATACTAAAAGATTCAAAGAAACGATTCGTTAGTTTTTAAACAGCATTTAGCCGCGTATTAACGTCTTCTCTCTCGAGAGAATTTCTATGCGAAAAAAGCAGAGAAAAACAAAAATAAAAATACGCTGTTAAAAAAAAGGGGGAACGTATATATGAAGATGACACGCGAATGATGCGATATCGAATTTATCCCAAATAAATCGACGTCGTTTGTTGAGATGATTCTATGTTTGATTGTTCATTTATTTGTTATAATATATTAGTTTGGCACATCGTATTGATCAATGAACAATTGTTTTAAGCAATCCAGCCGACGACATTTTATTTGTCTCTGAAGTAGGTTGCTACTCAACGCACACTCCTTTTCTATTTTTCAAAAATATTTCTTCCCTTTTTTTGGTTTCAAATTAAAATCAGTGACGTGGGTAATATTCATAGAGATACAACACATATAATAAAGCAGGCAAGCCAGCATAAAACCTGTCGGCGAAATAAAAAGAGATAGAACATAGGAGGTTGATGTTGTTTTTGTCTAACTTGCGCTGAGCGGCGCATGTGCATTAGTCTGCTAGTGAGGTTAAGGTAGCTGATAAGCACGACAAGTCTAATGCGCATGCGCCGGTACCACATGAGTTAGAGAGAGACAACATCAACCTTTCGTTTTTTGCTGCTATATTCATGCAGAGACATTCCCAGTTACACAATCGCCTATGGTTTGTCTACTCTATCTGTAATATCTCTATGGTAATATTACTTAGAAATATTTTTAACAATTTTTTTTTTAATGTTTAAACGACGCAGCATTGCATTTTTGTAATTTCTCTCAAATGTATTTCATAGATAAATATTCATAATCATTTTTAAATACAATATGAATTTCAATGCGTTTAATTCTTTGATGATTTCGCGTTGTTAAAATATATATAGCGAATATGAATGAATTTTGTATAATATTTTGTTTTATTTTTATCGGCACGATGAACGACGACGACGTTTCTTGAGAGCTACCGACTCATGCGAATGTGAGGGAGAAGGGTCTGGGTTTTGGGTTGAAAGATGGACCGGCTGAAAAAAGATAAGAAAAGCAGTATTACGTTTAAGGAAAGAGGAACGTGTGTTGTAAAGTGAAAGGAAGGTTTTTTATGATCGACAATCGTAAAGACAACTAAATTCTATGTCTAAATATTTTAATTAGAATTTATAAGAAAAATAATATCAATATAATAGAAAAGGTGTCGCATATTTCGCAATTTCAACGAACAAGAAGAAGACTTTCAACCTAAAACGTGAAGTTAGAAATGAAACTTTCAAAAAAACCAAGTTTTGAGAAAATGAGACGAGTGCATAGTATCAGGAGTAGGATAATTTATTATATAATATTATTTATTTAAAAATGATAAAAATTCGCGCCTGTAGGAATGCAACCATCCAGACACACTTTGAAAATATTGCTTGCGAGCGACATCTGTTGGGACGGAATTTTTTTTTCTTGCCCGAAAGATAGGCAACCCGTAATACACACGTGTATGAACAGTTTGGAGTGAAAAAAAATTCCGTTTCGCGAGATGGCACTCGCAAGCAATATTTTCAAACTGTGTCTGGAGGGTTGCATTCCTACAGGCGCAGTATGTTTTTTTTTAAATAATGATAAAAATTGAAACTTTAATTTTATAATTAGTTTATAATTAATTTATATCGTCCTAACGAATAATAAAAACGAACGGAATGTGAAAAATGAGCGAGCACAGAGGAGGAAAGCTTATGCGATGATCGAATTAAAAATTATTGCTATGGATTACATCTTTTTGTAACATAAAAAGTAGACATAACTTTTTTTTTATTATAAATAGAAATGATGTTACAAGAAAATACAATCTGTATGAATAATTTGATTCGTCATCGTCGTATGCCATCTTTTCGACGCACAAAAAAGATATGAATTTGATCATGTTAGATCAAGAAATGAAACGAGCGTGAAAGATAGAAAAAGTTTGTAGACAAAGATAGATAGAAAGAGAAAGAAAAAAAAGAAAAAAGAGAAAGAGAGAGAGAGAGAGAGAGAGAGAGAGAGAGTGAAAAAATGTGAGGAGGTAAGCCAAAGGGGACGCATTAGCCAAAGCTCGAAACTCGGTCAGTCGGATCTAATCTATCGTCGTACCTCTGAAGGGCGAACTTTTTGGCTTTGGCAGTGCAGAGAAGAGACCTATTTGCAACAATTGAAGATAAAGTTAGGCCAAGGACAAAAGCGAGCTCGTCGCTAGGAGAGAACGTATGCAAATATTTGCGAGATTGTTCATTTTTCTCGACCAATTTTTTTCATTTGGTCAAACAATATTTTTCTTATATATTTATTTGTATTCTTTTAAAAATGGTTATTTTTTTGATACCAGCACTATCTGGGTCGCTAATCGATCATCCTGACGGCTATCCATCCCGTATTTTTTTATCGTTTTGCAAATGGTCGCCATATTATTCAATTGACTTTTTTTTGAAATGATCAAAAGAATACGAATTACAATATCGATTGTTAATTTGATAAATTAATGATTTAATCATTCATATTCTTTTGTTCATTCGATTTGAAATGAAATATCGGGTCGTCGAAATTGAAAGCTTACCAGTTGCGGTCTGATTCTGCACGCGTGGAAGAATACTGTTTCCTGAATTTGCTATTGGAGGTGATGAAAGATTCGACAAAGTGCTCGATCCACCAAAAGGCTTAGGCCCGATTAAACTATTCGACGTCGGTGTCTGTAAACAAATAAAAATCATTGATATTAATTAATAATTTATTGAACAAGTTCTCGATGATTACCTTAGAGAAAATCTTTCGGTAACAACGATATTAATTACCATATGGAAAGTAGTGGACTTACGTTGAATAGAAAAATGATTAAAAACACGTTTGGAAAACACTGATCAAAAAGGTATTTGCTTTGTCTTACTTAAATATCAGTTTTCAATAGTGACAAATTGAATCTCACATCTTAAATAAATGAAAATAATAAATATATTTTATTGACGCTATTGTTAATACTTAAAGAAATGTAGGTAAATACACTGACACACAAAAATGGTGTTAATTTGCGTTACTACTATGGCTCGTGCAAAAACGATTGGGTAATAATTTCGTTTTTCTAATTACTGCCATTAAATAGATGTTTTCTTCGTTAACAAAATCGTGTATAAATAATCCTCTTGAAGTTGATACACGTAGTAAATGAATAGATCGATTTTTATTTGGACATCGGACGGTACGAGAACATTCCTAAGAGGAGATAATCGTTTTATCGAAAGAAATAGAAAAAAATATCTACTGTAATATGTTTGTATGTTAACTTGATAGATAAAGTTTCTAATAAAATTTAGTTGGTTTCCCCGACGACACAGACGATCACTAACGTACCGAGAAAAAATGTCGAAGGCGCGTTTAGGGTTCTGCTTCTAGAGAAGTCGTTGAGCGTTACTGATCGTTCGAAGATATTACCTGGACTGATCGTAAACCGGGTGGTTCGACGGGCGAACTGCCAACGTGATTGCTGGTGGTGGTGTTGTTGTTGTTGGTGGTGGTAGTAGTACAAGACTGTAATACACAAAATGACACAAATCCGTCACGTGTTTTATCACCACGACGATTAGATAAACAGAAGGTTCGAAGAAGAATAAGTAGAAGCAGTAGAAGCAGTAGAAGAAGAAGAAGAAGAAGAAGAAGAAGAAGAAGAAGAAGAAGAAGAAGAAGAAAAAGAAGAGACGAAGAGGGACATCCACTTGACGATGACTAATTAGTCACGATGTACATAACAAATTTTAAGAATGATTGGCTCTTGATTCATTCTCGATAAATCGATCTTTCCTTTGTCGCAATGACGATCCTAATTTTATTCTATTCTTATATAACCAAACGAATCTATAGAAAACAATGGAATAATACAAGATCGTTTCTAAACATTACAAATCTAATATAAGCAAATTCTAAAGAAATTCAAAGGATTATTTCGCGTATCTCATCCTTACTCCTCAGCGATGACAAATCGAGATCGTTTTTTAGCACAGTGCGAAATATAAATAAGACCTGACCGCATTAGAGCGATGCGTGCTGTCACACTCGAGCGAGGCCTTTCGAAAATTAAGATTCAATTACGAAGATTTATCGATGTTGTTCTCGACTCTAAACAAATTCTTATTCTACTTTAAAATTCACATAAACTTTGCTAGAAAGTTCAAATAAAATAAGATGGGGGGGGGAAAGAAGAAGAAACGTCCTCGTCGTTCGTTAATATGAAAGATAGTCCAGTTCTCGTTGGAAAAAAGAGTAAAAAAATATATAAACAAGTTATTACTATATTAAAATATAAAAAGAAATAATTTCTAATCTCAATCATTTGAAAGAGAGAGAGAGAGAGAGGGAGAGAGAGAGCTCGTAACTTTGACTAGTTTCGTTGCGTAATACGCGTCTTGTTTTACGTAACAGAAACGCAACCATACAACCGATCGACCGATTTTGATTTTATTACCATGTACTTACAGTCTCGAAACTTTTTTTTTTCTTTTTTTTTCATTCAATTCACCTTTAAATACAATTCATATCAAGTCGATTATCATTGAATCGATGTACGCGCGTACAACTTCCGCCTAAGTCGTAACGATTGATCTTTCGTTACAGCTACAAACTTTCACTTTGACGAAGGATGTGACTTTTGTTTCGACAAAGTAGAATGAAAAATTGAATGGATAGGTTTTTCTTTCTTTTCTTTTCTTTTTTTGACAAGGACGAATCCTTCCAAACAGATTTGTTATCAACGAGAATAATACGAGTAACGTGCACAAAATTATTGGAAAATATTAATAATAAAATGAATGAAAATTCGAGCACATTGCCAACCTCCGTGCCACCTGTCTGGATGGTGATAGTGCTCGTAAACGTTTTAGATTCTCCATTGCACTCTCCGTTTCTGATACAGCCATTCCTGTTCACTGGCGTTCCTCTTGATTGACGATCGTAACCATAATCTGGACTAGTACGGCCGCAATTCTGGAAAAGCGTTTAGTGCCAAGCAACAACAAAAACAAAACAACAAAATCAGAACACATGATTTGTTAGGCTATATCTTTTTAAATATTCTTTCTGATTTATATCTTTTAGATGTTCGATAAATAATCTCGCGTGATCACTCGCAGTGCGTAAAGCGACTCTCGATGCAAAGTAAGTTGCGTTATAAGCGATAAATAAAATAAAATAAAATAAAATCAAATAAAATAGAATATAATAAAATAAAATAGAATGAAATAAATATAAAACATAGGAATCTTCACATGCAAGTTAAAAATAAACTAGGTGGTTAATACTTACGGTGAACGGCAACGGTGAAGATCCGTGATTGCTTAGCGGTGGCGATAAAGGTGTGCCAACGTTTGAAAGCGCAGCAGAGATCGTGCTGGCTGGTGCTTTGCTGCCTCTGAAATCAATGTCCCGATGATTTATTAGTATCTTTCATTATGTTCTATCCCACACGTATAAGTATATCCAAAATAGATTTTACGACTTGTCAAATGAATTTTTTTTTTCTTATTTATTTAGTTTTATTATTCAGTATCTTTTCAGAGAAGTACAAAAAAAAACATCATAAAAAAGTGTAATTTTAGATCTACCCACTTGTTAGATTTTCTAAATGATCAATAAATTCAATGAAAATGAACTTACGGTGGCATGGTAACTGGTATAACACCTGGAGGTGCATTTTGTCTGGCTACCAATTTGGCGTGAATATCGCAATACAATTTGTTGTTGATGTTGTAATAACCAACGTTCTTCAAAGAAGTACCACACGTTGAACATTTGAAGCATTCAACGTGAAGATTTTTTTCCTTGATTCTAACGAAGACACCTCTATGAAAAAAGAGAGATACGATTAACTTTTTTTATTTCAAACCTTATTACTTGTTTCACGTATGTATATTATTTTAAAGGTTTATTATATATTTAATTTATTAACAGAAAGCTTTTTCTTATTTCGGATTAGAAGATCAACTTGACATAATGATGAGAATATTTTCAATTATTCATTGTGGACGGACCCAAAAAAAGCAAATTGGTTTTTTTTTGTTTTTGTTTAATCGGACATGCCACGATTTTTCGCTTTTACTTTTGATTTTTATTTTTGGTTTTTTTTTTATTTTGTAAATTTGATTATCTTTTAAAATATTGAAAAAGCACGAAGAGAGAGGAGCTCGACACCTCGACGAAGGAGGCCGGGAGACATACGAAAATAATTTATTCAAACGTAATGAATGTATGATTGAATTCATGATTTATGTTAACGACTATAGCTGATTTCAACGATCGTTGATAGCAAAAAAAAAGGATTCTGTTTGTTCTTTCATCGCCATTTGTATCGTGTGATTATCATGGTAATTGAAATAACAACAAAATTCAAACTGCAATGTGATCTCCAATTACCTGAACACCAAATTGTAATAATGTGTTCTTTAATAAGACAACGACAAAAATATATCGAGAAAAGAAAGATAGAGAAAGAGAGAGAAAGAGAGAGAGAGAGAGAGAGAGAGAGAGAGAGAGAGAGAAGGAGAGAGACAGAGAAAAAGATAATGAAGAAATTCGCGATTTGTCTAAAAATTACTTAAAAAATGATCAAAAATACGAACGGCAACGCATTGCTTGTTTCACAAAAAGCACAAAAAAAAATTACTTAATAAGAGAAACACAAAAAAAATAATTTATACAGTCAAAACAAAACAATGTTCACAACATCAAAAGCGGACTCTTCTTCAATCGTACGATTTTGTCTCTTGACAAAGAGAATAGATGATGAATAGAAGAGTAGAAAAAAGACGATGAGAGTGATACAGCAAGAATTTGAAATTATATTAAAAATAAATAGAAAGACAAAAAAGAAAATAAGAGAGAGAGAGAGAGGGAGAGAGAGAGATAGCAAGAAAGAGAAAATAAGAAAATGGAAGAAAAGCTATGAACAAATTATTCGTGTATTTGTGCTTGAAAAAAATTCGGAGAAAATTCAAGCTTCAAGCTCGGATGATGACGAATGTTCAAGATGCTAGAAATTAATAAAAGTTTTTTGGCACATTGACCGATGAATTGATCTTCGTTCTTCTTGAAGAAGCGATATTGACGAAGAGGCAAAAGTGAAGAAAAGTATAGTTGATGTGCTTCGATTCATCAAGCATAGGTATACTATGTAACATAATACCTGATCCCGATATAACGCTTGACAAGATGAAATACATAGTTACATTTTATTCGTTAAAAAGCAACGAATATTTTATTTTTTAGTTTTCGTTTTTTTTACGAATCGAAGCACTAGAGAGACAAGGATATAAATACCAGCGTACGTACGACAATTGAGCAATTCAAATGGACAACATTTTCGATGTCTCTTCGACGGGCAAGATAAACGAGATTTTTTGTTAATTAATTTTAAATTAATAATAATATAATTATAAAAGAAGGACATATGTTACAAGTTTGCAGTATGTTTGCACATATGCTTTTCTCGAACATTTATCTATTTGTCAACTAACCATAAGTTTACAATAGCAATTAGAATGTTTTAGAAAAGTGCTTGTAGCTCGTTAATCTTTCGTGCCCGTAGAAATGGACACCAATCGGTCCGTCGTCGATCGTGCAAGAAGAGCAACAGATACTTTTGTTCGTTCTGTTCGTATAAATAGTTACACGATCACTCGGTCGCAGTTGTTGCAACGGACGAGCGACTGGTCTCGACGTTGTTGATCCTCGTTGTTTGATATTCGTGGATATTCATGGCTATTCGGGGTTGTGGCTCCGCCACCTCCACCGCCACCGCCACCAAGGGCGTGAAATAGAGGCGTGGGTGATTTAGGCGAAGTGGCCCTTCCGCCAATCGCGTGGCTCACCGACGAGTAAAACTCTGTCCTTGAAGATACTACGGACATGGAATTAGAGAAAAAATATAATGCCGTCACTAATTCCAACTAAATGATAATCTGATGATGATGATCTATTTCATCGTCTTTTGACACCAATCTTCTCCTATATACATTATCTGTGTATGAGTAAATTATGATATTGTGCAGAAATAATTATGAGATAGAGTAAAAAATAAATTAGTCAACCGTCATAATTATCAAAGCTAATGTAAATCGGTGCATATGTGTAAATGTGTCCTTTGTGGATTCGAACCGAGTAGAGAAGAACTCGAGTATCTGATATTTTTTTCCTATGAAGAAAAGAAAGAAAGAAAGACAGAGAAAAACGGCCTCCTCCACTTTAATCAGACATTGCGTTCGTCATCGCTCCTTTCTCGTCCATAAAGATGATCATTGTCTTCTGTAAAGAGAGACTGTTTCGCTCTCGAAATGGGAGGGAGGGCGCCAAGAAAGAGAGAGGAGTCGGACCTCCGGACCTTGCGTAGAACTTACACGATGAGCCTCTCGCACTCGGCACAGATGTTCTGTCCTGGTGGAAGGCTCGATTGGGGCGTCGATGGAGGTTGAGTTTTCGTTTCCGGTGCCGACACTGGCCTCAGTCCAGCCAAGGCAGGCGACGATGGCGTTATCACGCCGCTCGTACCACTTGGTTCAGCTATTTTTTTAAACAAGTTATCGTTTCCGCATGCAGATACATTCCCCCCAATGACCATTTTATATTTTTTTTTCTTCGACAACAACAATACAATAAAAATCCACTGGAGATCGATGCTTAATTCTCACATTTTATATTGTCTTTTAATTTCAATTAAGAAGAGCTTATAGCTAATATAGCTTCGTTCTCCAGTGATTTTTTGTATGCAATTTTATATACACATATAAAGCGAAGTTATGACAAATTTTCAATAGGTATTTTGATCGTTAATAATCGGCTAACCTGGCTCCGGTGTTTTCGGTTCTTTATCAGCTTCTTGTACCATCTTAAATACCTCGCTGTTTTCCGCATTGTAATTTTTCTCGTTCTTTTTGAAATTAACCCTGCAAATGTCAAGGATTATAATAAATGTGACTATTAAGTACGAAGATCTTCTGTTAAAAAGAAGAAACTTTTTTATTTTACCCAAGGACACCACCGGCGAGAACCTCGGCCTGTGCGGATAAAGTCTCCGCGATGGTTTCTTCGCTGTAAATTCCTACCGGACTGTTGTACTGTTTGTTTACGATAGATTTTATTGGACCCTCGCTCGTACCATTCAACTGGAATGCAAAGTAGACAATTTGTAGACTCGATCTACAAATTTCTTTTCAATAGATCGAACATTTGTTCATTTCTTTTTATCTATCTAGCGAGAACTTGAAAACAAAGTTCATTATTATTATTATTATGATTACTTTATATACATATGTCGTATAGGTGGATATACATACGAATGGTTTAGGACTGAAATTATGTCCACTTCCGATAAGTGGTGCATCCTGTTTCTTTGCAGCAAGAGATGTCTTCGTGACCGGGGTAATGTTACCAGCTGATACAGCAGGCGTCGGTGATGGAAGCGTAGACGATACCGGCGTCACGCTTGGTTTCCAAGTACTGCCTCCTCTACATGAAACGATTAACGCCGCTTCACAAGTTTTTATCCAAACGAACAAAGAAATTGAGAAGAACAAAAGATAATCCTTCTTCTTACCTTTGCACGGTTATCTCAAAATTGTTTCCAGCTCTGACGATGACATCTTGAGCGTCCTTGTGCCTCAGATTGTACATTTCCGTGCTGTTGACCTTAATGACGGCATCTCCGGCTCTGAGACCCGCTGCTTCGGCCGGTGACCCGCCATTGACCTGCAACGAGTTCAATTTCTTAAACATATTTTTGTGTCTTGACAAAAAAAGAAAAAGAAACCCGTGTCATAATAATTTTTATCTTTCGGTCAGTGACACAGATGAAAAGATAGTTCTTAGTAATTTGATCGTTTCATTTGAAATTCGTAAGGGTTAACGATCCCTCCTTTGATTTAAAAAAAAAAAATCCCGTGAAGGATCGAGGTGCGGATATGTCGTACCGTCGACGACGACGACGTCGTCGTCGTCGTCGGTTCGCTCCGCGTCTATTTTTACGTGCCCACGCCGACGTAAGTCTTCTTTTTCTCTTTTGGTTCTCTTCCTTCTTACCCTTCGTCGTCATTTCGTCTTCTTACTCCAGACTTCCAGCCACTATATTTAAGTGCACGCGCGTCATTACGCTTCGCATCTCGGACACTGTGCGTCCATTCACGTGAAGACGACCGCAGGAGTAAAGAGGATGGAAATCTAGAGAAAGACCGAACGAACAAAAAAAATCTCTCCCTCTCTCTCTCTCTCTCTTTCTCTCTTTTTGAGATCATTGACTTCGAGAGTTCGAGTTCGACTTAATAGACTCGATACTTAGAATTCCTAAGCAAACAAGCGACTAGTCTCGAATAAATTAAATTCATTTTATTGTATATCCACACCAACTCTATCACTTTCTTTCTCTTTCTACCTCTCGTACAATGAATTTTCTTATCATAGGTGATCTTTTTACTGATCTCGATCGATCATTTTTAATTCATTCCTTCTTAAGACTTTCATTTAAATCGATAGCTATGAATTGATACTCGTGTGCACGTTCAAAATTATTTACAGAAGTCATAGAAAATTCATATGAAAATATAAATATGTATGGGAGATACGTATAAGTTTAATCGACGACGACACCTTTCGATCTTGGAAAGGTGTGAGAATGATTCATTGGACCGGGACGCAAATGATGAACGGATTTTCGTAATTTTATTCGCTGCCAATCTATCGAATACAATTATAAATGTGATAGTAAGACTTCGAACTATTGCCGAACGTAAAAGTCTATTTATAAGGAATGACTAACTATTAATTAACTGATTTTCAACATGAATTATTAATAACTAGGATGGAGATAAATATCGGTAACGGTTTGATTTATATTTAGAATGTTTCGAAATACTGCCACGATCTGATTTCATTTAACAATAAGTAAAATGAAAGAAGAGTAAGATAGAATTTCGATATATATATATTCGTGTTCGAAGAATAATAATTGATTAAAACACGTGGCATAAGAAACATAAGATAGATGAAACAAAATAAGAGACCATAATTCAAAGTTTAGTTAACAAATGTGCTTTCTATTTGACTCGAACCACCCCCTTCCGCACCCGACAACGGGAGTTCGGTTGGTATCGAAAATAATGAATGTTTCTCTATCCAATAGCAGAGAAGAAAATCGAAAGCGTTTCTCTCGAGAGAACCCGCCTTTTCTATAAATACGAGACTAATTTATCGACGTTATTTTTATTGCAATTCCAAGACGAATCCACACACACACACAAGCCGCATTTGGTCCAGCCGATGTAAAACAGAAAGACCTTCGAAGTTGTTGCTGCTACCGTTACCACTGTTCCTGCAAGATAGACTCGATATTTTTTTATGTTCGTCGCGACGAAGGAACGCGGAATGTAGGTCGATTCGTAGCACAACTGAAGAAAGGAGAGAGAGAGAAAGAGAAAGAGATAGGCCTTTCCTAAACTCGATCATTTTTCGAGTACCCAGTCCGATAACAAACGATTACGCGATCTTATGCGTCATGCATTCAATTTTTGTTTGGTGTTCTCTGTTCGTAAACCGTGAAATATAAGAGAAGTTCATTTTTCTACATCCTCGAACATTCCACTTATTTCATTCATGAAAAATTCATACTTCTTTACGAAACGATATTATTTTTACCGAAACATCTCGAAGGAAAATTGGAACGGCGAATAAAGTTGTTGTTTCATTTCGCGGATGAGATACTTTACTTACGTATTCCTGTAAATAGATTCACGAAATTGCGTCATTGGTGTCACAGACGAGATTTGCCAAAACTTACGTGCATCGTTATTACGTATTAATGATATTTTTTGTGTCCTACCTCCCCCATTTATTTTTACGTATGCAATTGCTATACATCCCTCCTTTTTTTTTCTTTTTCTTATTCTATACATCGTCTTACAGATTCGTGCGATTTCACAGTCACGTCGTAAGATAATTTCGAAGTGGGTAGACACGTCGATTATATTCTCGTCGTCGGTTTGCTCACTTCGTGTCGCATTAACCGATCAACTTGAGCCAATTTGTGTACAATGTATGGATGGCATAAGACATTATGCGTGGCTCCGTCGTTCTTTCCCTCCTGTATTCAATTCGACAAAGTTAAAAGAGAAATTTTATCCATGTAACAGCTTGACGTCTCTGTTTGTTCGAGGTCATCGACACCAGAAGATTTTTAGGGACGATAGGTAAGATGTAGTTCAAAGTGTCGACGAACTATACACGAGAAATGATGATGATGATGATGATGATGAGGACTATGTCGAAGTGTTGTTCATAGGTCCTAAAGAAAAGTAGTAGACGTAGGACGTTACGCGTAAGTCAGGGTTAAACCTGCTGGTAGGCACCGTGAAAGCCTCTCTCTAAAAATATGCTTGGACCGGTCTAAAAATAGAACTCGAATACGTATGCCGGATATACGAACATACATATGTATGTATGTGTGTGTGTGTGTGGACGAGAGGATAAGAGAGCAAAAGAATGCATCACGAGCATTAACGCGCGCACGTGTATCGAAAGTAGAAATCGTATGTTACGAATTTTCATTTAGACTAATTTTCTTCCACCAATTTTCCTCGACAATAACACAAAATCAAAAGAACCGAGGAAAATAGTAATTACAATTAGAGAAATAGGTTGGTAAAACGTCGCAGACACTGTGGATGCAACGGGTGGATGCACTTGAGTACAGTCAAACCAAGAGAAGGAAAGAATTCACCAAGGTGTACGAGGTACGCATTCCAATGGGCGGGTTATCAGAGACGGATCCATCCCACCTTCTCCATGCTGGAATGCATCTCTGTCCTTTTTTCTCTATCTCTTTCTTCGAGGCTTTAAGGTCCGTTCATACGGACTATGCTACTCTCAAAAACACTCGGATGCATGCATGCATCCCACACACATGTTTATGAAAAAAAAAGTGAAAGCGTTTTTACGATCCCATTACGATGGATGTGGAAATCCATATATATATATATATATATGTGTGTGTGTGTGTGTGTGTGCGCGACCGTAACGCTAATTACGTGCTTTCGATAATTTCTTTAATGTTATCCTCCCCTTTTTTCTCGCCTTCTCGAAGAAATTATTAATTAGAAAGAGAAAAATGTAAATATCGTTCCCACAGCTAATAAAATTCTGTCCTTTAGTTGGTTACTTTACAGTCGGAGAATTTTACGATGATTTGTAGAGCAGAACGGAATCTGACACTAATGAGAGAGCTGCAAGGGAGGCCCTCCTCGTACTCGTTGCCATCGTTTTGTAACACCCAAGGACTCATTAATATTTTCAAAGTCATTATTAAAAGGTACTTAAGATAGCTTCGACGTTTCATATAATCAACAGACGAGAAAGCATTTTTTTTATTTTCGATAAGATATACAACCTACGTTCGATCGCTTTTTAAAGATCCAAGTATTCTATTTGTAAGAATTACAAGGAAGTTACAATGTTATCTTAATCTTGTTTAGATGTAAAACCCCAAAGTCGAACATATCAAGATGGACTTCCTGTTTTAATGAAAATTTTAATGGCTACCGCTTCCTCGACGTGATCTCCGAGACAGAAGAAGAAATAGACAATGACGTCAGGTCAAAATTATCGGTCTACGTCTGACCAAGTCTTATCTTTTCAAACAAACCGCACACCGTTCGTTCGTTCTTTCATTCGTTCGTTCGTTCGTGCTACGGACTACAATAATATACACGTTCGAGTATCTTGCCTATGTATTTTATCCTTCGTAAATACATATACGTGCTCTAACACAAATATCATGGAAGAATCGCTTTACATGGGACTGCATTGAACACCGATGATGTTGCTTCGAAAGAATGTTCAATGCTACTTTCAAAAATCAATTTATTTTTACTTGACCAATGTTAAATTTTACAACAAATCGACTCTCCTTTTTTCCTTGACTTCTTTCATTATTCTTATTCTTTTATTTTTTTTTTTAACAAGAAAATCAGCGTAATTCAGTTTCTACCGATTGGAATGACGATACGATATTGTACGTGAATTTCTTCGTGCATGTAATTACGTACATATATGTACATATATCAAACAGTACATAAGTTGGTTATTCATTCCCACCATTGGAAGACGAGAGAGAGAGAGAGAGAGAGAGAGAGATGGAAAAATTTCGAAATATTTACTCTCCAATTATGAGTTAACAAAACTTCATTTACCTATCGTTAAGTGCTCCTTCTTAGCAAAGTGAATATTATTTTTTGTCATCCTTTTTAGAAAATCAATAAAATGGAATAAGGATCGTTAGAAAATTAGAACAATGAAGATTTGAAATACAACGTTTTTGTTCGTTGTTTCGCTAGCTTTAATTTGAACTACATATTATTTTGCTATACTTTTTCAAAGCTTTGGAAAAGCATTTTCAAAGCGTCGTTATTCTGATCTAATAGCGACAACGTAATCATGATCCAACTCTCGGCAAACAAACGAGACAGAAGAACGATACCTGCTCCCTCGTCTTTTGGCAAATTTCCCACAAATCTTTCTCTTTTTTCTTTCACTCCCTCTCTCATTCCCGAAATCGAATCGGCATTTACGACGGACTGCTCCTAAATCCTATCCTCGTAAAACGAGATAAAATTTCACCGACGATTCGTTCCAAATATATTTTTTTTTTCTTTTTCTTTCTTTTTGATCGATCTTGATATATCTCTCCCGATTTCTGTTTCAGC